CAGGCAGGAGGAGCGACCAAGAGTTACCCAGAAATAGGTCAACACCGGTGGGTCTGACCGCTGAGCGGTTCCACTTAGAGGATGGGTCTCCCTCAGGAGATAGTGTGCTCAATTCAAGATTCACGTGCTGCATCTACCACAGTTCTGTACACATCAAGGGGACGGCTTTTCAGCGCTGGTGCACAGAGAAGGTTTAGAGACCACCTCATGCCTTTTAAGCGGCGTGTTGTTTTTCTACAACAGCTGATGGATAGGGAGTTGGCTTTCAGTACGCTTTAACGTACGATTGCAGCCATCTCTTCCTGCCACAAAGGGTTTGGAGTCAGAACAGCTTTTATCACCCGCTGATGAAGCGGTTTCTAAAAGGTGTACAGAGATGTAGGCCTGTTTTCACGCCCACTTGTTTTCCACAGTGGGTTTAACGCTGGTCCTGCGAGCCCTGATCAAAGCTTCAATTGAGCCTCTGGATCAGGTTTCATTTAAATTCTTGTCTCTTTTAACAGCCCTGTTGCTGGTTTTAACACCCGCTAAGAGGGTAAGTATTTATCTGCCCTCTCTGTTGCTTCGTCATGCCTTAGAATTAGGCTGACGGGCAGCTCAGCTGATTTAAGACCAACCCAGCTTTTATGCCTAAAACATCACGAGCTCTTTTAAATCAAGAGTGATATCGTTGGAGGGGTTTTTTCCCCCCCACAGATCAGAAGAGGAAGCATCTTTTCATCTTCTCTGCCCGGTGCGGGCGTTTGACGTGTTACATAACGCACACAGCTGCAATGCGTTTCAAACTCAACAATGGTTTGTGCATTATAGAGATGTTTCTACAGGTCGCCGTTATCCATCCAGCGCTTATCACACTGGCTGTGTGAGGCCTTTTCTGAAGCCTACAGAGCATCAGATTTAGAGCCTCCTGTCAACCTCTAAGCACACTCGACCAGGGGTATCGCATCTTCGACTGCTCTGCATAATGGTTTGTCAATGCAGGACATTTGCACTGCGGCTGCATGGTCAACACCCTGCTCATTTATTCGCTTTTACCTACGTGATGTAACGGCTCGTTCCATGACACATTCTGTCCTTAGTGCTCTAACAGAATGAATATTGTTGTTCTCATGGAACTCTGTTTAAGCTCACTTCTGTCTGCATGCATTACAGTGTGAGATGTTGTTATCAGTCACAAGTCGTGTCTGTGATTTTGGTTATATTGTCACTAATCAGTTCATGATTATTGTTACCAATCAGTTCAATTGATTTATAATCAATTTATGGACATTAATCTGTTTATACTGTTCAGCCATGAACCAGTTGGTTCATGCCCCCCCCCCCCCCCCTCTTTTCAACTTCTTCTTCCCGTTGAAAGTTTTCCGGGGTATTCATGCTTTGTCAGAACGCATAGCTACACAACATGCGTCTGTGCATGGCACATAATTACGCGATGCGTAGTTATGCACATGGGGAGCTGAGTGACAAGACGTTTTTTGGGCAAGCTTCCGCTTCTTACTGTGTTCGAATGGACCCAGTGAGGCGAGGACCACATCGGCTTCGCCCTTTACCCACTAAAGCGAAGGCCTTAAAGGGCGAAGCTTATATGACATAGAACGTTGGTTACGTACTGTAACCCCAGATTCTATGAATATAAGCGTAGCCCTTTAAGCGTCGGGCCTCACTGGCTCCTAAATGGCTGAAGAAAAAAGCTATTTTGGGAGCCGATTTCCCGCTCTTAACGTAATTTATACGGACCGGGTAGGGCCCACACAGCAGGTGGGCGTGGACTAATTTTTTTCAGTGCTTATGCTCTGCATAACGGGATAAACCCACTAAAGCGAAGGCCTTAAAGGGCTACGCTTATATTCATAGAATCTGGGGTTACAGTACGTAACCAACGTTATCTCTAATGACAGCAATACTTTTCATGAAACGCTTGTTGCTGTTGGCAAAGTGAACCAAAAATATGTTTCAGTCCATTTGCTCCAAAACTGTCAATATCTAAAACTTTTTATTTATTTATTTTGGCTTTAAGAGACATTTTGACACTTGTAGCATGCTTAGCTAATGCCACTGTAACTGTTGTCTTCTGTCTGTTCTGCACCCTTACTGCCTTTTGCACGGGTCAGATGGATTGGTCAAGACACCTGCTTACAGGTGTGCATGTTTACCCACCCCCTCCTCTTCATTGTCATGTTTAACAGAGGAGGACTCAAGGTGTGGAAGTATCTCTGAGATGCTTTGCATATTTTAGTTTTATATTCAGACAAATCAGTTTGGGGAACTAGCAGCTTTGTGGGGCCCAAAAACTTCTCCAAAGGGCCATATCTGGCCCACGAGCCATCAGTTCCTATGAGCCCTTGAATATTTAAGTGTTAATTCGACAACAAAACTGTAGCTGTTTGCAAATAGATGTTATACTACTCATATTGGATGTAACATCACATTACATTGTTTATGTTGTTTATATTTATTGCCCGCTGTCATTAAAGGCAGGATCCCGTGTCTGTGTGCGTCATGTTGGATGTTTGTTAAAAAAATTCTAATTCATGTTTTTTATATAATTTCCCTCTGGGATTAATAAAGTATTTTTGAATTGAATTGAATTGAATTGAATTATACAGCTTTACTGTGCAGGAGAGGAAAACATACAAATCAGAGCAGATGTAAAATGATTTAATTCAACTTTCAGTGCAATGAGATTTAATCTGCTGTAATCTGGTTAGAAAACAAATCTAAACTAATCTCTAAAAGTTATTCATTAAATGGTTTTGGCTTCTAGCGTTTGTCGTCCAAATAAGTGGTTCCAACTCTGGTCCTGGAGGAACACCATCCTGCATATTTTAGTTGTTTCTCTGCTTAAACACACCTGATTCAGTGATTTAATCACTTCCTCAAGCTCTGCAGAAACCTGTTAATTACCTGTTCATTCAAATCAGGTGTGTTGGAGCAGTGAAACAACCAAACCATGCAGGGTGGTGTTCCTCAAGGACCAGTGTTGGGAACCACTGGTCCAAATGACAGGCGTATCGATGTCTAAACACAAATATTGCTGGATTTTTTATGTCCTAAGTGAAGAATCCATAATATGTTGATAATTTTAAAGGTGAAGTTTTATGTTTGGAAACCACTAAACTGGACAGGAAGTGTAAATAAACAGTGTAATCTCCTTCTTATGACAGGTAACAGCTGATATATGAGCACACTACAGCTTCTTTTTCCCTCATATGTGATGAAATCTATTCTGAGGCGGAACGAGAGGCTAGAAGGAATACCACACATGAATATTTTAAACCGCAGACTCGGCATTCAAACCAAAAAGAGTTGGAGCTGCGTGTGTGTGTGAGCCTGTGGTATTTAGTAGGTGGGACAGGTGAGTGGAGGGAAGTCTGCATGGACACATGAATAAATAAAGCACAAACTGTAAGGAGATGGAGGTTTGTATAGCTGCGTGAAAAATATGGACTTATGCTGAGATAAATAAGTAAACAGTGTGGCTGCACTTAAGACAAACAGCGGTGCAGAGAAAAAAGCCGAAAGCTGCTTAATTTTTAACGTATCATGGAGTTCATCGATTTTTACTGTACTGTTTATTTTTCTTGCATCATTTCATTTCTGAGCGATAATATGTTTCTTTAATCAGCTTTCACACAGTTTTCCTGTTTTGTTTGTTTGTTTTTACAATCTATTTACTTCTGGATACTTTGTGCCATTTTATACATTTATATATCATAAAGGTAGTAACGCTTTTGGTCATGTAACTTTTAAAAATATTTTACTTGTTTAAATAGATCTCTTCAGTTCAATGCATGATTCTGCTTCAGCATACCTGCTCCATGTTTGTCTTCTTATGCTAATTTTAGCTTTTAGCTAGCCTTTTGTTACTTTTAGCTTCTGGACAACCTTTTGCTGCTTTTTGCTATTTTTGCTATTTTTATCTTTTTGTTGAGCTTTTGCTACTTTTCACTTTTAGCTGCCTTTTGCTACTTTGAGCTTCTAGCTACAGTTGAACTATTTTTAGCTATCATTCTACTTTAGCTAGCCGTTTGATTCTTTTCACTTTTAGCTAGCCTTTAGATTGTCTTTTGTACTGTTTGCTTTTAGTTCACATTTTGCTGTTTTTAGCTAGAGTTTTGCTGTTATTGGCTTTTCGTTAGCCTTTTGCTTCTTTTAGTATATGGCTAAAATGTTGTTGCTTTTAGCAAGCATTTTGCTAAGTTTAGCCTTTAGCTTGCCTGTTCCTGCAGTTAGCTTTTATATAGGCTTTTGTTCCTTTTACCTTTTAGCTAGGTTTTCTACTTTTAATTAGCATTTTACTACTTTTGGTTTTTAGCTAGTAATTTGCTTTGACATCGTTTAGCAGGTGTTTTGCTCATCTTACCTTTTAGCTAGTCTTCTGCTTCTTTTAGCTTAATCAACTGAGGAGTTTCAGCTTCTTCTGCAATTTCAGCAGTCGTGCAGTGGTTCCCAACCCTGGTCTTCAAGGAACCTAATCCTGCATGTTTTAGTTGCTTCCCTGCTTTGACACACCTGATTTGAATGGATGGGTGCTTAACAGGCTCGGGCAGAACTTCAGGAAATAATAAAATCACTGAATCAGGTGAGTTGGAGCAGGGAAACAACTAAAACATGCAGGGTGGCGTTCCTCAAGGACCATGGTTGGGAACCACTGCAGAGTATCCACTCCAGTATGTTTTTAAAATTTAAAAAAGGTGTTAATTGTCTTTTGTCAGTCAAAACTTTGAAGGTGGAACCTGTTCTCCCCTTGTTGAAACATTTTTTATTTTTTTTGCCTTTCAGATAAAATCAAATGTTACTTATCTTTCATCTCTTTCCAAAATAAAACAAAAAAAAAAATTGTGATAAATCCAAAAGAGAAAAGATTAAAGTGAATCACTTGTTCCATACAAAAACAAATGACTTTAAAGCTAAAACATCTGCCAAGATCCAAAAACTAATAAACATTTCTTGTCTTTTTCTCTCCCTGGTGCATCATGGGACATATTCATCCAACTCAGCTCTCGCAGGTACGTGAACACAGAAACTCCACGCAGCATTCAAGCAGCAGAGACAAAGGTTTACTTTGTTTTAGAGCGTTAACGTGCAGCGTATCGAGCTCAGTGTTTGGTCTTTCTTCTGATTAAAGCCGACTCGGAGCTTCACCGTGCTGCTGCAACACAAGGAGACAGCAGTGTACTCGTTTAAATTATTTAAGAGGCACAAAATGAGGCAACTTCCTGCTTATTTTATCTAGATTTTCTTAAAATGTTATCTTGAGTATACAGTTTATTCACATTAAGGCAGAAATCAGCCACGGAGGATTTTTTTTTTTGAGTTATTTTCTAACTTACGAGTTATTATCAGTCTTTTGCATGTTTGATCTCCAGTGTTTCCGCTCAGCCTGTCAAGGAGCAACATGTATAAAAATAAAATCAGCTGTTGTAAATTTATAATCTTATGTATGACTTAAACGTCAACTGCTTTATGAATTATTCATAAATACAACACAGCGGACCCATTGGTTTTAAGGCCGAGCTGGAATCCTCTCAGTTTAGATTTAGCTTCTTTTTCCTCCTCAGAGACCATCCATACGACTCGGCTGTGTGTTTTTAATTCTACTCGTATCCAAAAGAAAATAAAGATTTGCTGAGCTAAAGATAATAAAGCCGTGCCCTCAGGGGAGTGGCGGTCGGGCTCACTCAAATTAATAATAGAAGCTCTTCGTACAGTGCAGGGTGTGATGGTAAGAAAGTGAGGTGATGGTTGAAGAGAGGAAAATGAAACGGGACGACGGGTTGTTCAGAAAATGTGCCTCTGCGAATTTATCAGCAAATATTCAAAAAGTGAGCTGGAGCAAACTTTTAGCTTCTAATTCAGGCGAAAGATTCACAAAAACCTTTTACAGGAAGAATTTTCTGGTCTGCGGGGACGAAAACTATGAAAGCAGATTAGACTGGAGCTTTCTGCGTGTTGTAATATAATGTTACGGTTTTCTTTTTATTACTTTGCATTGCTGTGCATTCATTCATTAACGTTTCTAAAACAGCCAAGAAAGATAAATAGCTGGCATCAGTCAGTTGATTAGTCACCACCATTTGTCCGTTCTCAGAAAAAGAGAACAAAGTAAAGTTTCTTTCGCTAATGATCCATCGTTAGGCTGATGGTCCTTCTTGAGCATGTGAGCAGCTGGTTTTGGTTGTCAGCAGCAAACTGGTTGATCCACTCTGAGAAGGTGCTATTTATAAGACTGAGCTGAATACAGCACCTCAGACTGAGGAAGTCTTTCGGATGAAAGCCAAAACGTTTCTACATTTTTTTGTTGTTTTGCTTTGTTTTGTTTTTTGAATGTCCAGAGGACCAGATTTATCTTTTTTTAGATTTTTCTACCTGGATTATTGAGCATGCATCAGGTTACTTTCATATCTCTGGATGTTTTTACATTATTAAATACATCGTCATGGTTATTTTCTAAGTGTTTCTGTCCTGATTGACTATTTTTTTCATACAGCAAATAAGACTGGAGGTAATTTATTTAACTTTCAAAATATAAACAAAAAGAATTGCTTACCGTATTTTTTGGACTATAAGGTGCACTTAAAAAAAGAGAGTTGGGGGTTCGAATCCACCAGCAGTCACATGCCGAAGTGTCCATGAGCAAGACACTGAACCCCTCATTGCCTCCAATGTGTGTCGGTGTTTGAATGTGATAAAGCTCTGATTAGTCTCTTTAGAATGATTTGTTCAATTAGCTTTGTAGAGATCTAGTAGAGCTGTGTGAATGGGTAAATGAGGACACAGATTGTTGTGTAAAGTGCTTTGAGTATCTTGAAATAAGATAGAAAAGTGCTATATAAATGCAGTCCATTTACCATTTAAAATCCTTTAATTTTCTCTAAAATCGACAGTGAGCCTTATAATCCGGTGCGACTTGTGTATTAATTCTGGTTGTGCTCTCAAACCGATTTTGTGTGGTGCATGACGCTCAAAAAAAAAAAAGGCAGGAAATGTTCCTGTGGTGGTTTTGTTTTGCTTAATGTGCCTTATAATCTGGTGCGCCTTATAGTCTGAAAAATACGATACTTTAATTGCTTAATTGCTTGATTTTCTTTAAATATATATATATATATATATATATATATATATATATATACAATGCACAGTACCCCTTACTTAATTGTCCTATGCACAGTCAAGCAGTTTTAGGCTTTAATATTTCAATTAGTTTTACAGATATTGAGCTAACAACAATAAAAACTGATCAACGTTGGAAGCCAAACCAATCCAAGATGGCTACCGCAGCTAACTGACCATAACCACAAGAATGGCTCTAACTCAATCACTTCTTGGGCTATAATTTAACGTGGTAGTAGCTAAGAGTCATCCCCAACACATAAGTGTGAGACTGTTTGTCAAGTTTAATGTGAAACAAATAAAGTGTCAGACTTCTACAACTCCATGGAATGAAACAGTTTTAAGCACTCTGCATTTTTTGCCTCCATTATTTTAAAATTAAAACGAAATTTTTCAGGCAGTTTTCTTTGTCGCAAAGCAAATGATTAGACTTCAATAAAACTTTATCACAAACTCTAGTTCAAGATTAAGAAAAAACTTTGTACATTATAGTGGAAAATTATATACTTAATAAAAACTAATAAACAGTTTTATACCAAATTTCTAAAAGTGTATTTATTTATTTATTATTTTATTTACTATTTATTTTTCTACCTGACTGTCAAGTTAAAGATTTCACCCAAGAAATAAGTATTTGTTTTTACTTAGACTAGACTGACATTTGTATAATTATTTATGGAAACTAGAATTATGTGTAATGTCTTACCTTCTTGCTGCAGAACGACAGCCACGTGCATTAATTGTAACTTGCAGACAGCTGAGTCCACAGACCCACAATCTGCACATCAGTAATTTCCTGTTGAGTCCAATCAGGTCTGTGAGGCTGGATGAAGACAGAAACAGCTGGCCTGCACACATGGTAGCTTGTTCTGCTCTGAGCCTGTTTACAGGAGCCCAGATGGGACATTTGGAGCACCCCGCACACTGAGCCCAGCCCTGCTCTCCTCCTGCATGTACGACTACAGGCCTGAGGAGCACTATGGGCCAAAACAACAAAAGTGAAACTATTTTAATAATTCACAATATTCAGATTCGGTGCTTTTTCTGTACTTAAATATTACAGCCTTTAATTTCACAAAGACCGTGCACTCAGCATAAAACTAGAGAAATTGTATTTCCTGCGAAAATGCAGCGTGAATGCTTAATGCTGAAGAACATGCTGAAAAACAGCTGAAATTAGCTAAAACAAACGCTGAATTTTAGCTGAAAAGGAAGAACAAGCCTAAATTAGTAGTAGAAAGCAGAAATAATACATTTTAGCTGAATTAGGTTTAAATAATCAGAAATGAGCACAGAAATTATGAAATTAGTTTTAAAAAGCTGAAATTAGCAACAAGGAAAAAAAATAGCTGAAAAGTAGCTGAAAAGGCAGAATAAAGCTTAAACTACCAAAATCAAGTGGAAAGAGCTGAAATGAGTAAAAAAAAATGTGGAATTAGCTGAAAAAACTAAAAAATAGCATAAAACAGCTAAATAGTATCTGAAATAACTGAAACTAGCAGAAATGAGCTGAAAGGAGAAAAACACTGAAATTAGCAGAAATAAGTTAATTAGGCTGAACGTAGCAGAAGTGAGTGCAAAAAAATGTGGAATTAGCTGAAAAGGCCAAAATGAGCATAAAAACAGCTGAAAAGTAGCTAAAAAAGCAGAAAGAAGTTTAAAATACCAGAAGGAAGTGGAGAGAGCACATTTTTGGTGAATTAGGATGAAAAAAGTTGAAATGAGTGCCAAAAAATAGGAAATAACTGAAAAACTAAAATTGGTATAAAACAGCTAAATTGTAGTTGAAATAGCAGAAAACGCTGAAACTTGTATAAATAAGCTGAAAGGAGCATAACAGGCTGAAATTAACAGAAAGAAGTTGGAAAAAGCACGAAAATGTTGTAGTTAGCAGAAAAAATATAAAAGGATCACAAAACAGCTGAAAAACAGCTGAAAGTAGCTGAATTTTTTTTTATTTGATCAAGGAAGCTGAAAGAAGCTGAACCGAACAAAATGTGAAAGGAGCAGTAAAAGGTTGTAAACAGATCTAAAGATTTGAAGGATGTAAAATGAGCTGAATTCATTTTCTATGAGGAAAAAAAATGGCAGAAAAGGCTAAATATTTCAAAAAGCTAAAGGTGCACCAATACCAAAAGTCATAGCACCCTTCTCCTGAACGAGCTGAATGTCATGATTTGTTGAAATAGCACAAAAATTGCAATGAGAAAGACGTAAAAACGTGCAGAAGAAAAATGGATCACAATAGTGTGAATGCTTCATAAACGATAAATTGCCCCCAAAAATGTTGAGCTTTAACCTGAATATTGGGCAGTTTATGTTAAAGGAGACATTTGACGTTAAATAAAACTTGCAGTGCAGGACAGAATAATCCAAAGATCTCTTTTTAAATATTATATGCAAAATGGGGTGTCATCATCATCATTTACTTTATTTCAGACACAATATAAGATCCATATAGAAAACGTAAAAAACAACAAAAACAGAATTAAAAAGTTTTCTATAGAGTCTCAAAAGCCAATAAGTCCATAAAGTAGAAAAGTATGTCTTGTCTTTTCTCTTTTCAGAGTTTTCCAAAATGTTCTCAATAAAACTCGAGGTCCGACTGATCTCTGCCGTTGATTTCATCTCTACAGTGGAGCTCATGTCATCAGGAAGTCTTTGTGGCTTCTTCTTTCTGGTTGTTGTTCTGTAGGAGCTGTCGGAGGAGCGCCACTCTCCACCGCTGCTGTCGGTTAACGGGCCCGGCGAGGAAAAGCTGTTCCGCAGTCGGAGTGCTGAAGTGGAGCTGACGATCGAGAAGGAGAGGGTCAAGAAGATGCTCTCCGAAGGGTAATGACGAGTTTTTACTTTCAGGGGAGGCACGGTTCAGCCAGAGCGGAAAATGTTTATGTGTAAATTATTAAAATGCAAAAAGTTCATTTGTTACCGCGTTTAAAATATTAATATCTGCATGTTTTCTTGTTGTTCTTTTAAAAAGAACAAAAAAGGTTAGTGTTGCAGTTTGTTTGTCAGGCACACAAGTTATTCCAGAGGAAAACTAATGGTTTTCTTTGATACAAAAAGTTTTTCTGATTAACTTCATTCTCATTACAGGAGCCAACATAAAGGCAACATTCGTTCTTGCGTAATTTGACTTGTAGAAAATGCAAACTGAACAAAAATAACAACTAGAAACCATCATATTTGTACACAGACACATAAAGCTGATGCGTATGGGAGAGAAAATGCTGGCGTTTTTGTCCAACCTTGAAAATAAAGTAATGTTTTATCTCGTGTACATAATGAATACCACATAACTCGATGTCTGTCAAATCGACTGAGCTGCCGCCTTTTTCATGTTGGCTAACGTTGATTAGCTCTGGAGGACATCTTGAAGTGGATTCTAGATGCACCTCCACTGCTAAAGTTCAAAATGTTTCATCAGAATCCAGTTAGTGGTTCATTCAAAGCAGACAAACAGGATTACGTCTGAAGGTTTTTGCCAAAATAACTCGCACAACAAGCAACATTTGGAGTTTCTTTCATGTTTGATTCTCAGCTACAACCACACCAGTTTGTTGCTGCACATCCTTTAAATTCACTCAGGTTTAGCTCATTTTGTTGGGGGTTGTTCAGGCAGTTGTGGCTTAAAACAATAAAAGTAAAATCGTGTACCGGTATATTTATATTGCTTCGCATGCAAGTGACTGTTTTAGCATTTACTCATAACCACACTTTAATCCTCAAAGCATAACATTAGATGCATTTATTTTATTCAGAACACTTTGACTTCCACTTTATGTTGCGACCCAGGATTTGAGCAGTCCAGGATAAGCCACTGATTTGGGCCCATAAATGTGTAAAATGCATAAAATTGAACAAATATCCTTTCATGTTTCACACTTTTTTCTGTTCACGCTGACTTTAAAGCTGCTGCTGCCAATTAAAACTGCAAATGAGCTCCACTCAACCCTTACTGTGGACATCTAGGGCAATATATGTAGCACCAACCCCTTGACCAAGATTTGCTCCAGCACATTTAAAAAAAAATCTCCTCTTACGTTAAATTATCTGACCACTTAGATTTGGTGTTTTTAGTCAAAAGTCAAAACATAAATTGGGTCGAGTCAAATCACTTCATGTGACCTAAAAGCCCTTAAGGAAATAAGATCTGTGCTGCATACAGATCCCCGTGAGACTTGTGAATGAAAAAACTTGTGACACAGGGACAGAAGTGCATGAGCAGAACTATTTCAGATAAAATGAGAGTACAGTGGCAGAACGTTGGATTAAAGCATCAGATTGAATACAAGTACAAAATGGACAGATGATATATGCACTGCAGCAGCAAGACCGGACAGATCTGAAATAATGGGAGTTTGACTGAAACCACTGAAAATCAAGACAAATGATCTCACCCATAGAAGCGTTGGCTCTGGTTTTTGACTCTGAACTGGTCTTAAGAACAATTTACTTTCATTTCTAGAAATGCGCCACTCGAGGTGGTTGCATGTTGGAGTGTTATATTCAATCTGAGATTTTGCTTTTGGAAACTTTAATTCCTGTTTTTCTGGATGTAAATCACTTTTTTCGGATGATTCCCCCCCAGTATCAGATGCTATGCAGCTGGAAGGACTTTCACTGAAACTTTTTTTACATTTGGACATTTGTTATGATGTGTAACCATAACAACAATATGTTTTTTTACAACTGGGAGCAGCTGATTAACATCTCAAAAGCTCAAATAATACCTCAACTACAGCCCCAAATCTGAAATGAGTTGGAAAAGGAGGCTCAGTGGATGCATTCCCGTCTACGTGATGGCTGTGCTCGAGTGCCTGACCACTGAGATCCTAAGATCACCTAAGGAGATCCTGGAACTGGCAAGAAAAGTGTTTCGTGACAGCAGAAGGACTGGGATCGTCCTCCGGCACCTGCAGCCGACTGTACACAGTGACGAGGAGCTTGGCAGGCTGCTGGGAGGAGTGGCCATCGCTCTGGGAGTTCTGCCCAGCATTTGGGCGGTCCTGCAGCCCGAGTGAACCGAGAGGCCAGCAAAGTCTGGGTGGACGGATCGGACAGCATCTGCAGCTAGTTTCTTCGGATCCACTGTGGGACGGACCTTTACAAGAGATCCTTCCTGCCGACAGCCATCAGTATCTATAACAACTCTTAATGAAACTAGGATAACGAGTTACAACATTTAATTTACCTTTGGGGTTAATAAAGTATTAAATTGAATTTCATAATGCATAAAAAGCTGATTCCCTACAATTGAAAGCATCCAAACAAAATAAAAACAGCTGTTTGCCTTGAAACCACGCTACAGACGGACTCGTGCTTTGCAGCTTTTGCACAACTGATTGTGACAGTTGTGTAGCCTTGCAGCAAGAGCTTTCTCACTACGTATAGATTTTACATTTATGTGTCTCTGACCGAGACCACCCAGGGGCTTAACTGCTGCAAAGCACTTAATTTGAATCATGATGGACGTTATTGATCACTTATTGTGAAAACAGGAAGCAGAAAATCCCCCAATTGTTCTTTACAGCCGATTATCCCAACACGTGTGCTTTATGATTTTTATAAGCCTATGCAGACTCTTCTCCTCTGTTGCTATGGTGAATGGTTTTATGATCGCTAAGCTGTTAGTATAGTCGTCATGGCAAAGATTGCTTTCTCAACTCCATCCCCTCAGCCGAAGGCTCTCTGGTTTATTACATATTCCCACTGAATCCTGACCTTTATCGGCTCATGGGATCTTTTGCGCAGGAATAAAAAACATTACCCATCTTTTGTAGTTTTTTAATATGTGGCCTGGCGGTGTCGTTTTCAGCCGTTCAAGGTGTTTTTCGCTTATTGTTGCTCAGCATTATAAATTAAATAACTTCAAAACTAAACACAAACCTGTATTATAAAATAATTGCTCTAAAAACAATATTTTCAGTTACTGTTTCATGTTTTGTTGAACGCACAACAGCCCTACACAAAAACAGAAGCAAAATAAAGTTTGTTGTTATTTCTCCAGCACAGACTAATCAAAATCTACTGAAATAAGCTGACTTTTAATTTCTTAATCCCATTACATGCCCATAAACTTTAATAAGGCAGATGGTGGATAATAATAGAAATGTTTCACTCCATTACCTCATAATTCTGGGTTTTTTTTTCACCTACCAGGTGTCTTAAGTGACATGAACAGATAATTGTAATGACATGTTTGTGTTTTGCTGCGCTCCTGCTCAGGTCCATGTGTGAGATCAATCTGGAGGCTGAACTCTTCACGCTGCAGGACAGTAACGCCAAGCTGGTGGCGGCGCTGCAGGAGGCCAACAGCAGCGTGGAGCAGTGGCAGAAACAGCTGGCTGAGTACCAGGAGGAGACCGATCGCCTCAGAGATCAGGTGCCCGCATGTGAAAAACACAAACACACCCTCGCTGTTTCAAAGCAAACACTGACTGATGCTTAACCTGGCCACAGCTCACATTAAGGACCTGTACGCTTTAATGGAAATGTTGCATGAAAAGCTTTCTGAGCATCAGGAAATTAAAGATGAGCTCTATTAATCTTTTAATTGGACAAAAAAATACATTACTGGCTTGTAAAACAATAAAAAAAAAAGATTGTTTACAACAAATTTTGCCTGTAATCAAGTTCTCCGGTCGTCTCTTTAATGAGAAGCACCAAGCATCTGGGTTGTTTCCATGGTTACCTGTTTCTTAACATGATTTTAAATTAAATTCAAAGGTTTGATTCAAGATGTTGTTGTGTTGCATGGACAAAAGTCTTTTGTCCACATGAAGAAGTCAAGATTTGACTATGATTTAGAACAAAACCAGTGAACAAAATTAATTTTTTACTTTGACTTTCTACTTCAAATCAACATTTGCTGTAACCACATTTAACCCTTTAACACCTCCTGTTTTACGACAAAGGTTTGCTCGGATGTTGGCAGCCAGTGCGTTGTATTATTTTTTTTTTTCTTCATTCAACCTTTATTTATACAGGTTAGTTTCATTGAGTCACAAGGACCTGATTTAGACAAAACCACAGATAAGGTACACACAACAATAAACAGCCACAAAACAAAATAAAATCAAGCTACATTATGAAACAAGGTAAAATACTAGAAACAGGAACATGTCTGCATTTTACATTTATTCATTCAACCTTTATTTAGACAGATAAATCACATTGAGCCTCAAAGACTCATTTACAAGTGAGACCTGTTTAGACGGACAAAAAAGTAATGAAAGTGACACATGTATAGGATTTAGAGGCAAAGAAAATTCCTATCAAACTCTTTCTCCTTGACCGAGGAGAAAGAGCCTGATATTGAAAAAAACACTGCGCACATTTGCACATAGTGACGCAGACATTTTGCAGGGGAGGGGCAACAACAAGAATGGTGATCGTGTCAAGGACACTCCAAAGAGGCACTGTAGGAGTTCTGATAAGAATGGAACAAGCAGTCAGTTCCCTCCGGTGAGATCCGTAAACTCTCTCGTGCCGAGGTCGACCTGGAACAGCGCCAGAGAAAATCCGAGAGTCCTGAAATGATGACAGTTTTTATTCAGCCGAGTCCCTCTGATAGGTCTGCAGACTTCCTCGGTGGAAGGTGAAGGGAGGGGGCAGAGCATCTGATTTACACGGCCTCCAGACAAATTGAGATAAAGTGGCCAGTCAAGGCCAGCCAGGGAGCCAAATTCAGAAGTCGGCTGCCTGAAGCTTGTCTTCTCGTCGAGAAAATTTTATCAATTGCGTTGAGAGACCAACTGACCAGATCCATAGCAAAAATTTACGGTTCGGAAGATATGTAGAGAGAGGCTCTGAAGCAGTTTCACAGACAGGACAGAGCAGAGCAAAGCAAATCGGAGGAGGGAGAGGAGAAGGAAAGCGTCCGCCCTTGACAGGAGCAAGTGGTGAAGTCTGCATTGAATTTAACAATTGTTTAGAATCCCTTAGAGAGGTCAAAGTCGACAGTTTCAGATCTTTTTGCAAGGTGTTCCAGGTTACAGGAGCGGAGTAGGAGAAGGCCCTTTTACTGAGTTCAGTCCGCACTGAGGGGACACTGCAGGTAATAATGTCCTGAGAGCGCATCAGGAATGTTCTGACCTACATTACTTATGTAGATTGAAAAGAGAGTGAGTCCTAACATTGAGCCTTGTGGTACACCATTATTGACAGTTAAATAACTGGAAAAAGTACCATTGTGTTGAACACATTGCTTTCGGCCTGAGAGATAATTAGAAAACCAACCGTGAATGTGATCTGAGAAACCAATATTTATGGCATGAGATGTCATGGTCCACAGTATCAAAAGCTTATGCTTCAGCATCATTAAAAACCTTCAACGAAGCGGTCATTGTGCTGTATTGTTTCCTGAAGCCAGATTGATGGGAAGATAAGATATTAATAGAATCCAAATTCCCTTCCAAGCATCCTTTAGAACTTCTGGACTAAGGTTCCTTCACGTAATCCCAGATTGTCGCTTCAGGGTCGAGGCTTCCTCTTGTCACACGATAATCCACCGTCACCGTGACTCTGACTGTATGTTTGAAACATGCAGGCAGTCTGATTTAAAGCCATGTAAAGTACATTCAGCTTCAGTCTGACTTGGTTTCCCTGTCCTATATGACCACTCAGACAGAAACTCGTGAAGCAGATGTTCCTGTTTTTTTTTTGTACAGCGTGCGAGTATCGCAGTAAAACCTCCCTGTAGACTGCTTCAAACTGCAGATTCATTTGTCATCCAGCTCCCCTCCGTGGCATATTTCTGTTGACAGGCTCCCGTGATAATCGCAGGGCCCGAACGCAGACATTTCATCTTTAATTTAGAGAGAGGAAATTCTGCCCCTGGTCAGGCTTAACAAAGCATCTTTGGTGGGACACTTCTGCTTGTCTGGAGCAAAACGTTATCACAACTGACAGAAACTCGCCCTTCGTCGTCAGCCCAGCTCGGGGTTTCATCTGTTATGTCTGCGCAAGTCCAGGCGAAGGTTACCTCCCAATGCACGAACACACACACACACCGAGCTGCAGCAAAGTCAACCAGGTGGCAGGAAGTAGAACAGGCCTCCAGGGTTTGGCAGTGGGGTATTGAGAGGGACAGGAGTGTGTTTATTTTATTTTCCAGGACAGGACACCCTATGCTGCCCATCTTAACCCCCCCACCCTGTCCCAGTTAGAAGAAGGAGATAAATCACCACATAAAAGCTGGCTGCCCGGCCTTTTCTCTCTCTTCATTTTCAGCTTCTCCCATGTGTTCATCCAGCGGAGAGGCAGAACCAGGCTTTATTTTCTGGGCTAACTCTGACCTCTGTTCAGATTTATTTAGTTAACAACATAAAAGTTGTACAGTAGTCCCTTGTTACTTCGTGGTTTGTTTTTCACGGACTTCCTTTATCACGGTTTTTCAAAATAAGATTGGACATGACACACAATTGGCTGATTGAGGGATGAGACACACGATGGGCATGGAATTTTTATTTAAAATTATTTAGTACCTGCTGCACCTGTGTGCAACCCACAGCTGCAGGAGAAGCTTCTTCCTGCAGCGTGTCATATCTGCTCTGCAGCGGAGAGGTGGGCGTGGCCGAAAGAGCAGCCGGAGGCAGAGAGCTGAGTTCATGACATGCTGTGATCTTTTAGAGCGTTCTGAGTTTAGAAACATTGTTATAGAATATTGCAAGAGTGTGGGAAGGAGTTAAAATGCCTTTATATATCTATCTATATGTATGTATATGTATATGTGTGTGTATATATATATATA